AATGCATGGAGGGATGCATCCATCAGTCCTTGGGTAGGTGCGTCGATCGCGACACCCTCCAAGGAAGCCGAGAGACCCAGTAATAAATGCGACAGGGAATTCCCAAGTCGCCCCAAACGAGCCCCAGAGTCATAGGCTCTACAGAGCAGATCGTCAGTGACACGGCACTGAGGACGAGGACACCTGGCATTGGCCCTCAAGGCCTCATCTGGTGCCACAATGAGGGAAGCTATGGCTGGCTCAACCGAAGGCATATGACCCAAGCCAAGACTGGGCGCACCATACATGGCCGCCAGTGCCCTGCCGTCAGAGGTCAGCCTCGAGAAAGCCTTAGTGTCTGTCCAACAGGCATGGAGCTCCTTCACATACTCTGCAGACGGGGGAACCATAAAGGACGCCCTAGCAGTAGGACGCCGAAAGAAAGCACTGGAAGCCGCAGGTTGGTCCTGTGGAGCATCCAGATGCAACCGGGCGAGGGCAGTTCCCAGAGCGCCCACTACAGAACCATCCTCCTCTGACTGAGAGCCAGAAGAGATATGTGAACCGGCTTCTGAGAGGAGTGAGCCGGAGTCAAATTGATCCCGAAAATCAGTGCCAGACGCTGCCAGGGAAATGGCATCATCTTCTAAAGCAGAGGCTCCCGAACCAACGCTGTGTCCTTGGTCAGGGTCTCCAGACATGTCAGCGCCACGCTCGCCCCTAAGGGACTCAAGCAACGCCTTCATCCCTTCTAGTTCAGAAGCGAGCTGGGCCACCTGCCCAGATATGCCCTCTGGAACCCTGGGGCTCCTCTTGCTCCTCTTCCGTGGAGGCCCCATAGCCTCAGAAGACACACGTTTCACAGGCCGGCTGGCGCTTTGAAGGCCAGCCAAACGAGCGTTACGTATGGACAAAGGCAGGACAGAACAATTAGGGCATGCCGCATCAGTCAAGGCCTCTTCCAAATGATCCAGGCCCAAACAAGAGGGACACAGATCATGCCCATCCTCCAGCTGGAGAGGGGCCAAACAAGCTCTACAGCACGGCGCGTCCAACATGTCACGCTCACAGGGCTAGGTCAGGTCGAGCCGAATTCGCCACTCTTGACACTCACCGAGCGGACAGATCGGGAGACCCGGTCGAGCAGAGAACGCCACCAGGGGTTCCCCAACAGCAAGGCCACAAGAGAACTAGCCAAGCACGTTAGCAAAGTAAAAAGCAAGCCCGAAAACGGCTGCTACGGTAACAAAAGCAAGCCCGAAAGCGGCTGCCACAGAAAACAGAAAAAGCAAGCCCGAAAGCGGTTGCTACAGTAAACAAAAAAGCAAGCCCGGAAACGGCTGCCACGGTAAACAAAAAGCAAGCCCGAAAACGGCTGCTACAGCAAACAAAAAAGCAAGCCCGGAAACGGCTGCAACAGTAAACAAAAAGGCAAGCCCGGAAACGGCTGCCACGGTAAACAAAAAGCAAGCCCGAAAGCGGCTGCTACAGCAAACAAAAAAGCAAGCCCGGAAACGGCTGCCACGGTAAACCAAAAGCAAGCCCGAAAACGGCTGCTACAGCAAACAACAAGCTGGTCGGAGTCGGCTAACGCCGAGGCACCAGCAACAGGGAGTCACGGTGAGAACGCGTCCCCGTTCGCCATCGATAAGAGAAAAAAACTTACCAGACGAAGAAACCAAGCTGTAAACAATGAAAAGCTTGCGCAGCCTCTGGAGGGCGAGATGAGCCTCGCAGCTCCGACCAAAGTCTCGAGGCTACCAGCGACAAGCAATCAGTGTCGTACCACCTGTTTCAACCTGCATGCGAGAAGATGAAAAGGGACTGAGCTGTCGCTGTCACGTGACTATATAGGCACACCGGTGTCACCGGGGGTCACACGTGACTATGTTGGTATAAGATTTTCGACCTGTGCATGCGCAAGAGTGATCATTCGTGCTTTAAGCACCGCCTCTGGCGGTCAGTAGGGATGAAATAGAACTCCCTTTTAACAGGAAGAAACCTCCAGCAGAACCAGGCTCAGTGTGAGCGGCCATCTGCTGAGGCCGACTGGGGTTCAAGGAGACAGAAGCAGAGATACAAAAAGCAGCTGTAAAAGGCGGCCCCGTCCAGGAAACACACAGCCAGGCAGACGAGCTCCAAGGCAGCTCCCATGCCAGAGGACGAAGAGAGCACATCCACTCAGTCACGGTCAGAGAAACAGGACCACACTGGAAAACAGGCCGATCTCCAACATCTAGAAACAAGGGTGTTGATAGAAGCAGCACAGCTGATGTTTCTTTCCAGGATGACGTCACAGCCAAACAGGAACAGACGAGGCAAAGCTACTCTGAGGAAAAGCAGAGAGAGCAGAAGGTTAGAGATTGAACTAACAGATTCTGCAGAATAGGAGAACAGAGAGAGAATGAAGCAGAATGATGAAATGGGGGTCCCTATGTCCTCCAAAAGTCTAAGCCTATAGCAGCACAACTATAGAGATAGATCAGGATAACCTGAGCCACTCTAACTATAAGCTTTATCAAAAAGGAAAGTTTTAAGCCTAGCCTTAAAGTAGACAGGGTGTCTGCCTCACGGACTAAAACTGGTAGTTGGTTCCACAGGAGAGGAGCCTGAGAACTAAAAGATCTGCCTCCCATTCTACTTTTAGAAATTCTAGGAACCACTAGTAAACCTGCAGATTGAGAGCGAAGTGCTCTGTTAGGAACATAAGGAACAATCAGATCTCTGATATCAGATGGAGCTTGGCCATTTAAGGCTTTATATGTGAGAAGGAGGATTTTAAATTCTATTCTGGATTTAACAGGAAGCCAATGAAGAGAAGCCAGGATAGGAGAGATATGATCTCTCTTTTTAATTTTCATTAGAACTCTGGCTGCAGCATTTTGGATCAGCTGAAGGCTTTTAACTACAGTTTGTGGACTTCCTGATAGTAAAGAATTACAATAGTCCAGCCTTGAAGTAACAAATGCATGGACTAGTTTCTCAGCATCACCCCTGGACAGGAGATTGCTCATTTTTACAATATTCCTCAGATGAAAGAAGGAAATTCTAGAAACCTCTTTGATATGGGATTTAAATGACAGGTCCTGATCAAAAACAACACCAAGATTTTTTACTTTATTATCTGAAATCAGTTTAATCCCATCCAAATGAAGTGACTGGCTAATCAGTTTCTTTTTCAGAGACTCTGGTCCAAAGACTATAACTTCTGTTTTGTCTGCATTCAGAAACAGAAATTGATTTGATATTAAAGGTATAATGGAGGATGTTTTATTTCCGGGTGGATCATCTAAATCAGTGGTCCTCCTAGCTGCCAGTCATTCTGGTGGTATGTTTATGTAAAGTCGTCCTTCGAGCTTGTCCCCATTTTCACCGACCGCTGGTGAGTCAGACATTGTGGGAAAAAGCTTTGGAAAGTTAGCTTGTATGAGTGGCGCAAACATTTACTTTTAAACAGATCGTGCAAAACGAGACATGGGCTCTCTGGAGCGGGCACAGGGTTGGGCATGTGCATTTTTTTAAAGTGGAGGGGGCGGGTCTTTTCAAAAAATCATGTAGATCCTCCACTATAGCTTTAAGATCTGAAGGTTCTGCTACAGAGCTTATAGATTGCTTAGCTGTTTAAATAGAGCTGACATAAAGATCAAGGAGAATAACCTTTACTCTATATAAAAATATCTTCTTATTCTTCACATGCCAGATTTTCAAGTCAATAACCCGACCAGCCAATCAGCATCTTTTAAAAGCTGTCAGACTTTCTCCAGTGTTTAAGGACGAATTGTTTATAAAACACATGTTTAAGTCATGAAAAGAAAAATCTGGAAACCAGTCAGTTGAAGACAGATGTAGAAAAAACAGTTTGGATCGATTTCAGAAACACAATTTTCTCTGTGAGCTGTTTGAGCTGACAGTGATTTAAAAGAGAACGTTCTGATCAGAGGGGAAACGAGCTAAGCTAAGTGCTTAGTAACCAACATGGCAGCCACCAGGTAGAATCGTCAACAAACAGTTAATGGCACATCTACATTACATGTCTGTTCCTGTTTGGCTGTGACTCCATCCTGGAGAGAAATATCAGCTGTGCTGCTGCCATCAACACCTTTGTTTCTAGATGTTGGAGATCGGCCTGTTTTCCAGTGTAGTCCTGTTTCTCTGACTGTGACTAACTGGATGTGCTCTCTTCATCCTCTGACATGGGAGCTGGCTCGGAGCTCGTCTGCCTGGCTGTGTGTTTCCTGGACGGGGCCGCCTGTGGAGCTGGTTGACAGTTGCCTTTTGTATCTATGCTTCTTTTTCTATGTCTGCTTCTGTCTCCTTGAACCCCAGTGGGCCTCAGCAGATGGCCGCTCACACTGAGCCTGCTTCTGCTGGAGGTTTCTTCCTGTTCAAAGGGAGTTTTTCCTCTCCACTGTCGCTACAAACATGCTTAGTGTGAGGGATTGCTGAAGAGTCAATGAGTCGATGCAATCAGCTGGTTTTCCTTAGATAGAAAACTTTGAATCAATCTGACTGGATGATCTGGTGAACTGGAAAGTGACCTGAGATGACATGATGTGAATGGGAGCTATAGAAATAGACTGAATAGAATTGGGGAGCTTTTATTATCAGAGGGTTACAAGAAAGTCAGGGTGGGTAAAACAGGAAGGAGGACCAGGGGAGACTGTAGGTTGGTGAGGCTGACTGATGTGAAGGAAAGTTGATGAATCAAAGGAGGAAGGAGCAGAATTGTTAGGATGGAAATGTCTGTAGAGAAATGAGGATTTAGGATAAAGACGTTCTCCCAGTCTGGACTAAGTGATGCTAACTCCTCATCCTCATTTCATCAGCATCAGTTCCCTCAGCTACTCTCCCTGTTGTTCTGCAGCTAAATTAGCTTCACAATCAGAATTATGTAAGGTGGGAAATGTTGAGCCCACACAGTTTCTACAGCTGGTGGGCCGAACAGAATGGCAGGAATCTCCTCGTTAGTCTCAGACAAAGCAGGCTTTGATGACGGCTCAGCGGCAGAGCAGAGGAGCTACCTTATAGACTCTGGAGAAGAATCCGCTCCCAATTGGTTCAGCACTGAAGTTTTCCCAGAACTCCAGTTTACGCACAGCTGTGCGGAGCTTCTGCCAGCGGTCCACATGGTAGCACTGGTCTGAGGACTCGGTGGACAGCGTGGGACTGGTGGGCTCTGAGGACGTGTCCACATCACACATCCTGGAGGGGTCTGCTGGGACAGACAGGCAGAGGAGGAGGGTTAGAGGTTCAAATGGCCCTCCCCAGTCAAACGCCAGCGAAATGGCAGCCCACTTCCCTGCAACTCCCAGAAGAACCCCCTCCAACTTCCAGCCACTGCAGTGACCCCCCCCCCCCCCCCCCCCTTGCATATTTTTTTACTCTCACTCCACCCTTATCTTAAAATATCTGCCGGTTTTATTTTTCTGGATTCAGTCTCTTACATGAATGAAAATTCCTCCTGCAATTAAACTTAAAGAAGCAGGACTTCAGAAAACAAAGACCAAATCCTGCATTTATCAGCATTAGAGCGGCCTGGATCAAAGAGAAGCTTTGGTTCTACCGTCCCACTCATGACGGCAGGCGGAGCGCGTCCCACTCCACAGGGAGAGACAAAGACGCTGCATAATGGGAGCCTCAGACAGCAACACACTAAGCAACTAGAAGAGGCTTTCCTCCAACAGCTCTTAGCTCACCGTCCTCATCTACTGACGGAGGTCAAACTTCATACTGTGAGCAAAGCTGATCTATTTGGGGGGTTTGGCCTAGTGGGCAGTGCATAGAGCTAGGAATCCAGAGGTTCTGAGCTACATATACAGGATCAATGCCTGGTTTGTAGCATTGCACGCAGCATATTTAGTTGAGTTGTTGCACGCTGCTGCCTTTAGGCGCCGCCATTTTGAAAGTCATAAGTCATACATTTTCAATAAAGGGTCAGTTGTTCCCAGGCTGATGTTCCCAGCCTCCATTATCAGCTGTTTCTATGCTGGATAGAAACCTTCACTAAATCCTGACCTTCTTTCAGCCACAGTGTGACAGCAGGGAAGGTCAGACTATTGTCTCCACGGTGGGAAGCACATGCTAACACGCTAACACCATCAACACCATCATGCTGCTTTTTATCATTTTCCTTCGGGTTAGCGTTAGGTAGGATTAATGTTAGGTAGGGTTAGCATTAGGAAGGGTTAGCGTTAGCTAGGGTTAGTGTTAGATAGGGTTAGCGTTAGGTAGGGTTAGCATTAGGTAGGGTTAGCGTTAGCTAGGGTTAGTGTTAGTTAGGGTTAGCGTTAGGTAGGGTTAGCATTAGGCAGGGTTAGCATTAGCTAGGGTTAGTGTTAGATAGGGTTAGCGTTAGGTAGGGTTAGCATTAGGTAGGGTTAGCGTTAGCTAGGGTTAGTGTTAGTTAGGGTTAGCGTTAGGTAGGGTTAGCATTAGGCAGGGTTAGCATTAGGGTTAGCGTTAGGTAGGGTTAGAGTTAGGTAGGGTTAGCGTTAGCTAGGGTTAGCATTAGGTAGGGTTAGCATTAGAAAGGGTTAGCGTTAGGTAGGGTTAGCATTAGGAAGGGTTAGCGTTAGGTAGGGTTAGCAATAGGAAGGGTTAGCGTTAGGTAGGGTTAGCATTAGGTAGGGTTAGCGTTAGGTAGAGTTAGCGTTAGGGTTAGCGTTAGGTAGAGTTAGCGTTAGGGTTAGCGTTAGGTAGAGTTAGCGTTAGGGTTAGCGTTAGGTAGGGTAAAGGGCTGGTTATCGTCCTGCAGCAGCGTGTCGCAGATATTTTTGATTTATGCCCTATATTGAAGCGTGTTCTGCGCTATGTTATTCAACGCCACAACGCCAGAGGGCCAATCAGGAACTAGCTGTGGGTCTAGATATGGCGGAGGCCCAGCGTTCTCGCGCACCTCGCTCTGCTAGCTGGTCTATCTTCACCAGTCGATTTCCACAATGGCGGTCAGACAAACAAAACAAGCCGTAAGGAAACAGGAAATCCACCAAAACAGTGGGGGAAAAAAAACAGTTTTTTAACTACATGTGAAAAAGCAAAGGTCAATGGAATCCATTTTAATTTATAGTCAAAAAGTCCAGATGAATTTAACTGCAGTGAATTCCATCAAAGTGGACGTTAGAATAAATTCAAAGCAGAGTCTAAGGAAATAAGTGAAATGAAATGAAGAAATCAAACATGTAAAGCAATGATTTTCCAAATGCATGTTATCCTCTGGGGAATTCATCCAGTCCGCCTCCACCTGCATCATCTCTGCAGGCACACAGCGGCTACACCAACGGGGCTTCATCACGCTGCAGTGAGGATGAAGAGACCGTTCCTCTGAGAACAACGGATGGTGGGATGGAAACCAGGTCAGAGGTCAGAGGTCAGAGGCCTCTCATCACTGAACCCAGAACAAGCAGGAGCTCTGAACATAGTGCAGAGTTCCTCACGTGGAACAAAGTACCAAACACTGACTGAATACTTTCCTCATTAGTGAGCCTTTCTATAAACCTCATGATGTGGAATAGTGCGACTAACGAGGCAGCTGCTGCACATGGAGCTTCTTCCTGAAGGGTAGAAATACTCTGAACCAGCCATGGAGGGATGAATGTGGTGCTGCTGACCACCTCTACAGCTGAGCTGTTGATGAGCAGTGGAGCGTGGTTAGGCCGCTTCTTCCTGAAGTCCACCATGATCTCCTTGGTCTTCTCCACCTTCAGGATCAGGCTGTTATCTCTGCTCCACCAGCTGCTCCACCTCCTCTCTGTAGTCCAGGTCCTTGTCGTCTCTGATGAGGCCCACCGCTGTGGCGTCGTCTGCAGACTTCCCCATGTGATCGGTGGTGAACCTGGAAGCTGTTTGACCACCTGTTAGAACCTGCTGCCTTTCTCCAAACTTTCCTTCAGGAAGTTTCTGTCGACCGAATCAAAATAAAGCTGAATGGTGACTCTGGGCACGAAACTTTCTAAACTTTTCTCTGTTTAACTGTAAACATCTGTTCTGTACTTTGACTAGGCCATTCTGTAGTGATCGTTTGTTCCTCCATGAAGGCTGGAAGCAGAGAACCTGAAGACGTCCATTTTGGTCGTCAGGACGACGGCTGCTTCTAACCACAGCTCTGCTGCTCATCATCTCTGCTCAGGCTCTTCATGCTGCTGCTTCTTCTCTAATCTTCTCAGACAAACCCTGGAGGCCTGACCAACCCTTCTGACTTCATCCTGAACAGTCCAGGGATTTCTGAAGGACAGCAGAGGTTTTAGATGTTCATCCTGTCAGAAACTATCATTAGTTCCTACCTGCCTCTTAGATTCAGTGAAGCTTCATTAAAACAAGAAAATTAGATTAGATTTTTGCTTTAGGATGAAATAGTTAAATATGAGGAAGGACAAAGCGGGTCTAAGCAGCTCAGAGTTTTGCTTTCTGCATCCTGTAGGTAGAAGATACTGAGAGGAAGCCACAAACATGCAACGACTAACCAGCAGGAACCGCAGACACCTGCAGGCTGAGCGCCTGGCAGACGTTAACATCATGTCAGCATGATGTGAGAGGAGATGCATGGTCTCTGCTCCACCTCTGCCCTGCTGGGTGGAGCAGAGCTCAGCCTGACCATGACACTCAATATAAAGTGAATCAACTTCCCAAAGTGAAGTTAAAGTTAGAGAAATCTGGCTGCAAACCAAGCTGTCTGGTTCTGATCCAGTTCTGATCCAGTTCTGATCCGGTTCTGATCCGGTTCCTGATCCGGTTCTGATCCACTACATGCTCTGAAGCTTCAGCTTCTCCCTGCCTGCAAAGCTCAGCAGAAAAGGTTCCTGTTCTCCTCCACATCCTGGAATTCTCTGGATCTTCCCAGGAAACATGATCCAGATGGAAAAGTTTTAGAAGAAGAAGAAGGAGCGAATATTTACCCAGAATCAGGAGCGAAGAAGAAGAGCAGCTGTTCAAAGAGCCGCTGAAGGCTCACGTCTATCAGGAAGCCTCTCAGCGCACAGCGCGGGGACGCGCGCCCTTTCCTGTGTGCGCGTGCCTGTGTGGTTGCCTAGGCAGCGGCAGCAATGAAACCGTCGGCGGATGAAGCTCCGCCCACAGGGAGAGACTGACTGATGGTCATTCCTTCAGCCGGTTAGTAAGATTATAAAGTTCAAATGAAAAAGATCCGTTTGATCAAAAGTGATCAAAGAGAAAAGAGGCGGTAAAAGTTGATCATTTATTATGTTTTATTCATTATCTATGTTTTTAGTTCTATTTTATCAGCAATCAATCAATCAAACAATCAATCAATCAATCAAATAAAGAATTGCTGCCATAGTTTTAAAAGTTAGAAAAGTTTTATTTCTAATGAGGAAATATTCAGCATCTAGTAAAATAGAGACTAAATTTATAGAGCTTTATTAATAGAGCAGAGATCTGGAAAACACAATCAGCATTTACATGAGTTGGGGGGGGGGGGCTGTTGGACCCCTCACTGTGACCTCTGACCCCTCTGCCCCTTCCTGTCATTCAGTCATTCCCAGGTTTTTCCAGTGGAAGCTGAGGATCCAGATCAGTTCACTGCAGCACAGCGCCATCCACTGGAGGAGCTGAGTAACGCTGCGCTACTGGATCTCTGGATCTGCCACTGGGCTGAGACTGGTGAGGCTGCTGGTTCTGGAGCCGCTCACTGGTTCTGCTGCTGTGATCATCAGCCGCCATTAAAGCTGTTTATCTTCATTCATTCATCCGATCCGGTCAGATTCATCCGCTCCACAGATTGCAGCCCGTCTGATGAAGGTTTGACCCCCCCGGGTGAAATCCAGGCCCCCAAAGATCTCAGCTCTGCTGACCTTCCTGCTCACCAGGAAGCTCCTCCCAGCTGCCGTCATCCAATCAGAGGAAGGTTCTGGATGCTCCGAGCAGCGGGCCGGTCTGACCTGAAGGGGAGGAGCCAGAGGAGCCTCTGAGGTGCAGTCAGGTCAGCGCCCCCCACAGCATCACCAGACTCCTCCGTGCAAAAACCAGAGGAAGTGTTTGGGTCTGTTTTCCTGGGATCATCAGGCTGCTGCAGACCAATCTATGCCTCATCTTTCTATCCTAGAGTGAAGCAGCAGCAAAAACTACTGAAGAGGAGAAAGTTTCTCATCATGGGAGCAAACTGGGAAAGAAAATAATTTATTTACATCTCGACTCATCAAGGATGAAGCAGGAAAAGCTTTTTAAACAGAGTTTATTCAGTTAGAAAGCAGCAGCTGGTCGATGACATCATCAGGACGCCGTCTGATGGAGGCGGTCCTCCCTCTGAGGTAGAAATAGCTCAGCTTTTTGGTTTACAGCACATCAAGACAGGGTTAGCCATAGCAACATAGATCTGCTTCAGTTAGACTGAAGGCAGCACTTCTAGAAGGCAGTCTATCTTTATCATTTAGCGTACACTGCCCCCTGTTGGCGCTCTGCAGGAAGTACGCCACCAGTCGGCAAAGCAGCAGTAGAATCAGTGAAGGCAAGTTAGTTTAGATATTCTAGGACACATAGATCTATGTTTTCTCCAGCATGCTGGGCCTCCTGCTAGAACCCCTTCATAGGGATAATCAGTCCAACACACTGAGTGCTTCTATTCCAGACAGGAAAAAGGAGCGGATCTATGTAGTTACATCTCTACGCTCTAAGCAGCCAATCAGCAGGAAGACATTCAGCTGCTTCCTGGTTTCCCATCGACAGAGACAGGAAATGGAACCTGCTGCCCTACAGTCACTCCTCCTCCTCCTCATCATCATCATTATCATCATCATTATCATCATCATCATCATCTAGACCCTCCAGAAGCAGCAGGACTGACAGACCTCCCACCGTTTAATCCTAGATATAGAACACATAGATCAGTGTTGGAAGTCAGAGTTTAGGCACCTACTGAAGACCACAGTGAAAACATCCCACCTATAAAAATAATAAAATCTCTCCTGCAGCAAATATCTGGATTAAATCAAAGTTTAATAAACTTTTAATAAACTTATTTAGATTTTTTTCTCAGATAAGGAAATGAAATCAAACTGCATAATTATATAGAAAACAGTGGGGGGGTCTGGGGGCCCCGGTTCCACATGTTTCCACGGGGCCCAGAACTCCCGGTACCGGCCCTGACCAGCAGCACGTTCAGGTACCGGTACCGGTCCACAGATAACAGAACCAAGCCGGACCCGGTCCTCCATGAGGCCCAGCATGGAGATCAGAGAACTAGTGAGGCACTGAGACGGTCCAGAACCGATCTGACCCGGAACCATCAGGTCCAGAACCATCAGGTCCAGAACCAATCTGACCCGGAACCATCAGGTCCAGAACCAATCTGACCCAGAGCCATCAGGTCCAGAACCATCAGGTCCAGAACCGATCTGACCCGGAACCATCAGGTCCAGAACCATCAGGTCCAGAACCAATCTGACCCGGAACCATCAGGTCCAGAACCAATCTGACCCAGAGCCATCAGGTCCAGAACCATCAGGTCCAGAACCGATCTGACCCGGAACCATCAGGTCCAGAACCATCAGGTCCAGAACCAATCTGACCCGGAGCCATCAGGTCCAGAACCATCAGATCCAGAACCAATCTGACCTGGAACCATCAGGTCCATCTTTGGTAAAAAATCCCTGCAGCAGCAGAAAGGCACGCTGACCTGGAACCAGAACTCATCTGACTCGGAACCATCAGGTCCAGATCCATCAGGTCCCTGAGGTCCAGACCTCCTGATTCATCTCAGCTTAAAACAAACAGAATCCAGAACAAAGTTCTAAAGGATCCAAACATTTTCAGCTTTTACTGATAATAATAATAATAATAATAATAATAATAATAATAGTTGTTGTTGTGATTCTTCTTCTTTGATGTCCTGAAAAGGTTCCTCTCAGGATCTCCTGACTGTGTTCCTCCAGCTAACCCCCCCTGCAGCTACAGGCAGGCCGCCTGACCTGCAGAGAAGTCCGGCCAGATCCGCAGCAGCTCTGCCGGCTGGAAGCCGTTAACGATGATGATCCTGGAGAAGCTGCAGCGGTCATACTGCAGCTTCTGCAGCTGGAAGAGGTTCCTGAAGAGCGGCAGGCTGAGGGAGTAGACCGGCCGGACCCCCAGCAGCCGCAGACACAGACCCACGTAGACGTCCTCCAGAGGAATCGGACGCACGAACCTGGAGGCCCAGGAGATGCGGGGCGCCATGTCGGAGGAGAAGACGTAGGCGGCTCCGGACACGTAGGGGGGGAAGCGCTCCTCCGGGAAGAGCCGCTCCGACAGGAACCACTTGCTGCTGGGGTCCCTCCGGGGCCGGCCGTCGCTGATGACGGAGCCGGTGATGAAGCCCGCCCTGGGGGCGGTCCGGAGGCGCCGGAGGAGGTGGAAGATGTTGAGGAAGATGTCAGAGTCCACCTTCATGGCGTAGGGGGCCCCGGGGCAGTGGGTCCCCAGCCAGCCCATCATCATCAGGGTCTTGATGGTCAGGTTCTGGTAGCTGTCCAGGAAGTCCATCTGGATGATGTCTGCATGCTGCGCGCTCTCCTCCTCCAGCGCCCTCTGCTGGGGAGACTGCAGCCCCTCCGCTGGGATCCCCGAGAAGAACAGGGTCAGGGTGCCCACCCTGGGGGCCCCCCACGTCCCCCTCACGGCCCGCCGGGCCGCCGCCTGCTGAGGCGCCACCGGAACCAGGAGCACCAGGAAGGGGCTGCTGTCCCGGCACGGCCCGGGGGGGCTCAGCAGGTACCGGTAGGTGAGCGGGGAGATCAGGCGGTACTCCTCTGCGGGGAGGAGGTGCGGTTCGGCGGGCTGTCTGACCGAACCCAGCAGGAGGAGCGCGGAGAGCAGCAGGACGGAGGCCAGCAGCAGCTTCTTCCACTGCCGCATCGCCGCCAGCGGTTCCGACCGGGTCCCCCTGCGGCCCGGTCCGGTCCGGTCCGGACCAGAAGGAGGAGGAGGACCGACAGCTGCGGGGGAGACGATATCCGGAGGAGGAGGAGGAGGAGGAGGAGGAGGAGGGCCTATGAGTTCAGGAAACGGAAGAATCTGAGCTGCTCACTCAGAACTTTCGGAACCAGAACTTTCCTCTGGTTCTGATCCGCTTCACTGATTCTTTGTCAGGAAAGAGGATAATTCCGGATTATTCTGGATTCTTTATCCAGTGGGAAAGTATCCATAAAGTTCTCACCAAATATTCCTTGTTGCGCAAACTTCCAGGAAGGAACCAACCGGAGAGCCTGGTGGGGTTTATTTCCGGATCAAACCATAATCTCTGCTTAATGGGGAGTTTAATCAGATATTTACCTCCAGGAATGAAGGAATAAAACCTGCTGCTGTTTGTCGGATCGAACTTCTAAGGCGGAAATGACTCAGTGCAGCGATCCACATAGACCTTGATAAACTAGAACCTTCTCCTCAGATCAGCTGAACCCGCAGAGTTTCTGGCTTCCATCAAGAAGCCCAGAGTTGATTTCCTTCTGCAGCCGCGGCGCTTTACGCACGCAGGCTTCATCCTGCTGCGTCATTACGCAGATCCAGCTGATCTTCCTCCTCTCTTCATCATCGTCTTCATCAGCAGCGCCTCTGGCTCTCATCCACCCAGAGGTCATTTCTCCTCTGCTGATTGGCTGAGCAGGTGATGAAGGCAGAGAGCAGCAGCTTTGATTGGAGGAAGGCAGACTCCATCCCCCCCCCCCCTTTTCAGGGCTGCAGCTCCTGCTGGAGGGTGGAGCTCTGCTGCACCTGCTGCACCTGCTGCACCTGCTGCACCTGCTTTTATCTAAACACACCTTTGTTTGCTGATCGCTCTCAGTCTGCCTGTTAATCTACGTCTAACCTCTGACCTTTAGTCTTTCTCTAAGCTCCTCCTTCACTCACCGATTCATTCCTTCAGTTTTTGTTCTTTCAGGGTTAATCTGCTCCTCAGGACCTCCTCTGTGAAGGGAACCTCCTCATGGGTGTGAAGTTTTTTAACAGGTCGTTCAGATCTGGTGAGTGAATGAAATTAATAACTGGGGATGTTTTATTCTGAAATCCTGTGTTTGGGTTGTTATAGATACTGCATCATCCATCCATCCATCCATCCATCCATCCATCCATCCATCCATCCATCCATACATACATAGTTCTCCTGTGGCGTGAGCACAGGGCGACTGTTGCGCGCATTTAGCTAGCATGCGCGTTTCCTGTCTCTTGCACGGTGACTCTTGCCGCCTGCGCTGTGCGGAGATGCAGGGGAAACCGTATCTGATGGGGAAACGCAGCTCGACGTAACAGCGGTATTTCCATGTGGAAAACGCTGTTTTGCTGCAGGAGTCCTCCTGACTCTCCATCTCTCTGTGTGTGCTGTACGTTAACACCCACCAGCAGAAACACCCACCTACCCAACTGACAGACGGAATCTCACTATACATCAGCCATCCTCCCCTCTCTCATGACAAGGCGCGCACGAGTCCTAGCATGAAAGAAGGTTCATTGTGCGACCTGAGTAACGCGCAGTAACGGGGTGTCTGCAATGGGAACTGCGTTATAGTTACAGTCAAGGTAATTAGTTAGATTACTTGTTACAAAAAAAAAAAGGAACGGTGTTAGTAACGTCGTTACTTTCAACACGGTTACTCCCATCACTGCTGCTTGGTTAGCACTAGGACACTTTATTTAGCTCTGCACCTTAAGCTTAGATTTATAATGAAAGAACAATTTGCACACAAGGGTTTAAAGTATTTATTGAATATTTATTGTGTATTTTAATAGTTGGTATATATTCTTTAGTTCCAGGCTCTGCACAGCTGCTCTCAAATTAACTATTGAGGTGGTTTAGAGCAAGCGAGGCTTACTGGCTAGAAACTTTAGCAAATGTTAGCGTAGAATCTGTCAGTGTAGAATCTGTTAACGTAGAATCTGTTAGCATAGAATCTGGCAGTGTAGAATCTGTCAGTGTAGAAGCTGTCAGTGTAGAATCTGTCAGTGTAGAATCTGTCGGTGTAGAATCTGTCGGTGTAGAAGCTGTTAGTGTTGAAGCTGTTAGCATAGAATCTGGCAGTGTAGAAGCTGTTCGTGTAGAATCTGTTAGCATAGAATCTGTTAGCGTAGAAGCTGTTAGTGTAGAATCTGTTGGTGTAGAAGCTGTTAGTGTAGAAGCTGTTGGTGTAGAATCTGTTTGCGTAGAATCTGTTAGCATAGAATCTGTCGGTGTAGAAGCTGTTAGTAGTGATGTTATGGGATGAGCCGAGGCTTCGAGGCGTGTGTCGAGTAATGGAGGGGGCGTTTCCCCGAAGCGCGTGTCGAGGCGTGATTCATTTAGAGGAGGGGCCAAAATTGATGACGTCCGAGGCCTCGCTACCGTGATACCACGTGACCGCTTCGGTAAGCGGTTCGGGAAACGCAAGAATTTTGACAGGCATCTAGACAGCCTCAGTGTTCAGTCAAGATGTGGGAGTTTGGGGGAGAGATGCTCTCAGCTGGATAAAGTTTGGATAGATTCTAAGAATAAATTGGTTGTCTTTCCAACCAATCTAGTTCCTTAAATCTAATTTGGTTTGAATAAACAATATAATGATCAAAATTTGAGCAAAACCACCAGACAAAGCCAGTGTTAATACGTCAGTGTTAATTCAATTCAATTCAGTTTATTTATATAGCGCCAAATTTACAACACATGTCATCTCAAGGCACTTTACAGTTCAACCAGATCAAATTGATACAAAGTTTTCTATCTAAGGAAAACCAGTTGATTGCATTGACTCATTGACTCAAATACAATCCCCCACACTAAGCATGCTTGTAGCGACAGTGGAGAGGAAAAACTCCCTTTTAACAGGAAGAAACCTCCAGCAGAACCAGGCTCAGTGTGAGCGGCCATCTGCTGAGGCCCACTGGGGTTCAAGGAGACAGAAGCAGAGATACAAAAAGCAGCTGTAAAAGGCGGCCCCGTCCAGGAATCACACAGCCAGGCAGACGAGCTCCAAGGCAGCTCCCATGTCAGAGGATGAAGAGAGCACATCCACTCAGTCACAGTCAGAGAAACAGGACCACACTGGAAAACAGGCCAATCTCCAACATCTATAAACAAGGGTGTTGATGGCAGCAGCACAGCTGATGTTTTTTTCCAGGATGACGTCACGGCCAAACAGGAACAGACGAGGCAAAGCTACTCTGAGGAAAAGCAGAGAGAGCAGAAGGTTAGAGATTGAACTAACAGATTCTGCAGAATAGGAGAACAGAGAGAGAATGAAGCAGAATGATGAAATGGGGGTCCCTATGTCCTCCAGCAGTCTAAGCCTATAGCAGCAGAACTATAGAGATAGATCAGGATAACCTGAGCCACTCTAACTAGAAGCTTTATCAAAAAGGAAAGTTTTAAGCCTAGCCTTAAAAGTAGACAGGGTGTCTGCCTCACGGACTAAAACTGGTAGTTGGTTCCACAGGAGAGGAGCCTGATAACTAAAAGATCTGCCTCCCATTCTACTTTTAGAAATTCTAGGAACCACTAGTAAACCTGCAGATTGAGAGCGAAGTGCTCTGTTAGGAACATAAGGAACAATCAGATCTCTGATATAAGATGGAGCTTGGCCATTTAAGGCTTTATATGTGCGAAGGAGGATTTTAAATTCTATTCTGGATTTAACAGGAAGCCAATGAAGAGAAGCCAGGATAGGAGAGATATGATCTCTCTTTTTAATTTTCATTAAAATTTCTGGCTGCAGCTTTTTTGGATCAGTTAAAGGGCTTTTAACTACGTTTGTGGATTTCCCTGTTTAGTAAAAAATTTTCCCAATAGCCCAGCCTTAAAGTAAAAATGCATGGATAGTTTTCAGTCACCCTGGACAGGGAGATTGCTCATTTTTGCAATTTCCCTCAGATAAAAGAAGGAAATTCTAGAAACCCCCTTTGATCTGGGTTTTAAATAAACAGGCCCTGATAAAAAAATAACCCCAAAGATTTTTTACTTTATTATCTAAAATTATTTTAAAACCCCACCCAAAATTGAAGTGACTGGAAATCAGTTTTTTTTCAGGCCCCTTGGCCCAAAAGGGGACTAAAAACTTCTGTTTTGTTGCATTCAAAAGCAAAAAGTTAGAGTCACCCAGGTTTTTATGTTTCAAGACATGCCTGAAAATTCTATGTAAGGGGTTAGCTTAATTTTTGGATTTTTAAAACCAGATATACCCGGGGTTTTCACCCAGCATAAAAAGGGGGAAATTAATCCCATGTTTGTCTAATAATTTCCCAATTTGGGAGATGTTTAAAGTAAAGGGGAAGGGGGTTTCCTAGAAATGTTTCCCTGTGGTACCCCACGGGGAACCTTTGAGCGTTTTGAAAAAATTTTTATCTTAAATGAAAACTAAATTTTCGATCAGATAGAAAAGTTTTAAAAACCAGTCAGTGTTTTCCCTTTTAAATTCCAAAAATATTAAAGTCTTTCAAAAAAGAATTTTATGGTAAAACGGTATCAAAGGGCCAGCAAAAGATCCAAAGGACGAGCACAGTTTGAAAGTCCATTATTGGGGCCATGAAAATTATCATTAGTGACTTTCCCCAAAAAGCGGGTTTCAGTCTATGTTGGCTTTTAAAGAGACTAAAATTTCTTAAAAAAAGTTCATTAATTTGGGGGGAAGTGATCGGGAAAAATTGTTTGGCAACTACTTTCTCAAGAATTTTTGGGGAAAAAAAAGGGAAGATTGGAAATTTGGTCTATAAAAAGGACCCAAAATCCTCTGGGTCAAGAGCGGTTTCTTTTAAAACCCGAGGTTTAATTTCGGGAACCTTAAAAAAAACTTTTTGGTAAATATCCCTGGTAACCGAGATAGTTTTAAACACATCTAAAAAGGAGGGAGGAGATCAAAGGGAATACCCCCTTTTAAAAAACCCGGTTGGAAATGGATCTAAATCCCAAATTGGGGGCTTAGTTTAAGCCCCAAAAATTTTGCTAATTTTAGAGAGTTCAAACTGGATTTAAAGGGAGTCTAAACCCCAAATTAGATTTTCCATGGGCTAAACCGGAAAATCCCGGGTAGGGGAGTTTCTTATTTTTATTTTTAAAGATCAATCTTATTTATAAAGAATTTCCCCTAAAGTCATTGTGTAAAAGCAGGTGGAATGGGTTTTTAACCCGAGTTTGGCTCTGGGTGAGTTTGGGAAATTTTATTAAAAAGAAATCAAAGGTTTTTCCCTTTTTTCCTTATTAATTAGGAGAAAAAAATGTTTCTCTTGCTTTTTAAAAGGGGCCTTTATACAGCCCCGTAAACCATTTTTCCGGGCTAGGGGGAAAGGGCTTCGCCGGGCCCGTGGAGCGATAATTTTTTCTCCAGTTTCTGCATTTTTCTTCAAAGTACGCCCGCTCGCATTAAAAACCCAAAGGGGGCAAGGGTTTTTAAAATTTTTAAAGGTTTTCATTTTTAAAAGGGGCTGCGGGTTTTCTAAGGCCCTACACCGAGAAAATAGCAAACCCCCTCAACAAAATCATAATGTGGGAAAGGGGGAAAAAGCTTTAAACTTTTTTCACCCCTGGCACTGTCAGTGGGCAAGAGGAGAGAGAAAA